CGAATGTTGCCATCAACCAGTCCAACAAATATTTGAAAATCAAATCCATCGAGTTCTGTCGTGTTAGACGAAATGTATAGTAAGGTGATAGAATCTTACTTGACAGTCTGAACGGGTTCAGCATTTTTGAAGCACTTCTGTGCTGTTTCTGGCTGAACTCTGTACCAAGCGGAACTTATCCAAAACATGGCATCCAAGAGATTAATTGACGCGGCAAAGTTCTTGTCGCATGCAGATCAATGATATGCAATTTCAGTGCAAACCAATGCACGAGCTGGGATCGGTAGTAGGTTTTGAACATTGTGATGATTTCTTGAGGATTACTGTAGGTGGTGGGCGCCCATGCCCGTAAACACTGAATAGCGAGACATACATCCACATGCAATTACACAGACAAAAAATGCTGTATCCTCAAATGTTTGTGGGGCTGAAAATTGCAGTTCGGTGGTGCCAGGAGAATTATATGCATTGCAGAATGCCGCTGCATACACATTATCACTGGAACTAACGAATCCTTCCGCGACAATTGCACGGTCAAGTAATAGAGGTTATTCATCGAAGTCTATTCCCAGCATGTTCCGACCCCATGACTTTCGGATGCCAGCAACTTGTGCCACTAAGCCATGAATGACGGCCGCGGACCTGGATGATTGAGAGCTGACTACGATATAGCCATGCCAGTTACGAACTGTACAGAGGTAAGTAGTTTGCCCTAAGACCTAGGACTTTCCGCATAGAGGCCGTGTACGACACAGTGCTTAGAAGCTATACGGACGGATTTTAGATTACCAACTCGTGCGGCTAAACACTGTCCTCCGCACAGTTCGTAACTGGCATGATAAGCAGATAAGCCGGGTTATATCACAGTCAACTGTCAATCATGCAGGTCCACGACTGACACCTATGGTGAAGTGGCACTAGCTGCTGGCATCCTGAAGTTATGGGGCGGAACTTGACAGGGGTCCGAGAAAGGCACACCACTAACGAGACCCAGAAGGTCGAAACAACGCTGTCTGACGCTTTCCCGGACGTGCTGACTGAGAGTGCACTTCGATTATTTACCTTGAAATTATACCAAACATCCCCACTACTCATTAATCATTAGTTGCAGAGGTTGACTTAATAATGACCGTTATCGCCCAAATGGTCAACATACAACAGTGATGATCAGCAAACAGAGGTCCTGTTTCCATGGAAAACACATGATGAACATACAAGCCATAAAAAACGGTCAACTCAGAGGAGTGGTCAGAACATATTAGAGGTGGTTAACTTAGGAAGTTATACTGCAGTTGCTCACAAGCCAAATAGTCTGTTCAGCTTTTTGTCTGTTCCTCGAGCTGAACAACTTTGTTGCACCAATTGAGATGATTTCGTCAGCGCGTAGTAGGCAAACTGAATGGTTCATGGACCCTTGATCGAGGAGTGAGTGACCAAATAGCCTAGCCACGAATCCAAAAAAGCACTAAACGACCGTCTCGCTCCGTTAGGGCTCATTGGTGGTGCGCACACCCCAGCTCATGACGGTCATCGTCTCACACGGCTCAATGGCATTAGCTACTGGTTTGGCAGTTCGACCAGCAGGTTTGTGAGCTGCTGGGATGAATCAGCAAAATTACATGAAAAAGCTTTCCTACTCATCGGTAAGTAGTTTCGTCAAACAGATGAAACAAGAAATAACAAGGGACTAACCTCAAAAGCAGTGAGGGTATGAACGATGAACTAGAAACATCTGGTTTGCAAGGAATGGGGATGTTGAATTTGTCAGCGAGCGCGCCCAAAACAAAATCAGCGGGGGCGTGGATGTTAAGATGTGCTCGCTTGAACAACTTGGCACGTTGCAAATTAACAATAACCATCTTAGAGGTGGGCGGAGATTCATCATCTTTATGATGAACATTACTACTTGAGCGCTTTGGTCTACCCGGCAAAAGAGGCAATGAGGCAGCAGGGTACATTTGCAGAGAAGTTCCTATGCATATATGCAATTCAGCTCGTCTGAAACAAATCGGTGGGTGACAGTGAAACATCGAGTTACTTGGAGTGCTCGATTGCAAGATTATAGTCCGTAGTGGGTAGATCACTTTCCCAGTCAAGAATTGTATCTGTGAGCTTGCCTCTGTCTATTTTCTGGAAAAACAAGTGCAGCTTACCGACAACGTAGCTTTGAAGGTTTGATGTAGGTACAAGAAGTATCAGTCCGACGGAGACCAACTGTAACGGATGGCGTGTTGCGAGGGAACAGTGTACCACAGGTATCGCAGACCTCTAAGAACATGTCACCGTGAAGAATTGACAGGCGATCACGTGGAAATCCGGATCTTAGATGTAATCCATCGATATTTTGTGTCACCAGATAGTGAATTAGACCTGTGCCGGGACTCGACAAAGTACAATAATTCTACCTCTACATTCAAATTCCACGAGGATCTGATGGGCCAACGAAGGTGTTGCGCTTTCAAAAGGGACAGAAGTAGGCGGATTTTTGCCCAGTTTTTCCAAAGTCCATATGCCTTAAGTAACTGCATCGACTAAATGGCAAAATGTACCTCGAGGTCCGCGAAAATCCGGGATACCGACAGAAGTACTAATGCCTGCCCCAGTGTGTACTACTGTGTACCGTGACTGCCGCATTAAAAGATACAGCTCGTTCAGCTTCTTCTCCAATGCAGTTGCATCGTCAAACAGTTCAGGCATGCCGCAAACTCCCTTATTCGCATAATCCGATAATGCCGTTGCATAGTTAACCGACATGAGCGACTGCAAACAAAACGAATAGGGATACTTGTGTAAAAATACTATTACAAATTGCTACAGGGAGTAAAAGAGAAGGCAGAGATATGTCTGATCAGATCTCCAAAACTAAATTCCGGTCAAGGTAGAATTGACCGAATGTCTCAGTTCGCGACAACAGAAGGGGATGGAGATCATTTGACTTGAAGGTAAATAATATTGGCGATTGAATGGTTCACTGAGCTTGGCAATTTTGTTGGAAACGTTCCGTTACCATTTGAAATGACATCATCAGTGCGTAGTTGTGTGGTGTGAAGTAGCGTAGAGGAGTCTCGGTGAGAGCGCCTAAAGAATTGAAACCTGGTAGCTCAGGCTGTTCAGATGGCGGTTGAACTGTTCGCTGAGCTTGGCAACTTTGTTGCAAACGATTCGTCACTAATCGAGGTGACATCAGTGGGTAGTTGAGTGGCGTGCAGTAGCATAGAATAGGGTAGAGGGTGTGTGGATGGAGTTGTGGGTGGTGCAGCGTAAGCCACCCATGGTCCCTCTGTAGGCACAGGCGTCCTGGGTCTGGCCACAATGACAGATAAATCTGAAACCGGATGCCGCCAACCGGCGTGTGAAAAACAAACTAAAAGTGTTTTGTTCTACTTTTTGTCAAAGGTTCCTTTCTTTCTGCGGCGTATTAGCTGAAGTGTGTTGCTCAACTTCAACTACTATGCTCCGATGATTATGACGCGACCACTCCCTTATTCTCTGATCTCCATGGTTTTCTGCTGGCTTTGTTGAGTTGTTAGACTTCTGAGATCACTTTCACTCACTTTGACTCAATAGCCTGACCCACAAGGCAGTGGGGAGCGGATCCAGCTCGGGAACGTGATTGCAGAGACAGATTGGGATCTGTTTGAAGTCCGTCAAACGAATTCTCTGTGATTCTGGAACGATTCATATGTGTTTTGCGACCGTAGTAAGATACGCACCTGCGACGCAGGAGGGTTTTTGTGCGTTTGCACCAATTTGACCAGGGGCTGCCTGGCTTGAGGCATGCAATAGCAAAGCATTGAGCACCCAGAGGTGCCCTCCCACCGTCAGGGACAATGCGTGGCGCTCATGCTCTACGCCAATTGAGCTGAGCTTATAACACCTAGACCTGTTGTGTCCCATGGCTAGGTTTTACGGGAAGAAGGCCATCGACCGCTTCCTAATCTCCGAAGAGGATGGAGTAGGATAGTGGCAGGTCGCCCACACCTGACAGGAGAACGACTCGGGTCCTCAGCCAAAGCCTTCGATTAAACGTACACCTGAAAGGCAACGGGTCTAGTAGATGGTCAGTTCACCAACTCATGCGGATTGGTGTCCTGGAAATTAGCAGGGCGAAGAGCGTAATCTAATTCCCACCCAGCGATCGCCACGAGGAGGCGTCCAGGACATCAGCCCATTGCACAACAATTGCAGCAGTGCGTAGACCATCTGTCAGGGTCAAGCCACCACCACCTCAGGACAGTATAGCCTCTCTCGCCATATATACATATACATATACATATATATGTATATATACATATATATATGTATATATGTATACATACATACACTTTATTTGGTTTGTTTTGCCTACCTGAAAAAGGTTCTATTAACTGGCCACGTTGCTTACGCTAATTGCGCTTATCTTCGGTAATTCTGTTGCGTTTGTAGCATTTTAAATAACTTGTGGACATTTCTTACTTATCACGGATTTGTTGCTAACCAAATTACTTCATATGGTAATTTAGCGAAGAGTTATGCCACCGTATCTGTATGCATTATTGGATTTATTTTAGTTCAGCTTGTCGTTTAAAGTGAATGGCTGTTGTTTGATATCCCTGGTATGGTTGCGTTTGATGTGTATGTTGACAAGGTGCCTACCTGTCTATTACCCACTACGTCGTCCATACTGGCTCCAGGAGACAGTTGGTCGTTGCTGGAGGGGACGGGGTGCACGGTTCTTGTGGCCGTGCTAGGCTCAAAGAGCGGTTCCATGCACTCAGTGTGGAGCGGACTACGGTCCAGCCACCGCCTTTGTGTGCGCTTGATTCCCCAAATACAGCGTGCTTGTGTTTGTCTGTGAAGGAATGTGGGCCGGCTCCGATGATGAAACGTGGTTCCTATCCGCATGCCTCCCGGTCTTATTCCTTCGGGTTTACACTGGATATGGGGTATGTGGTTGGAGCTGTGGGTGGTGCAGCGCAAGCCATCCATGGTCCCTCTGTAGGCGCAGGCGTCCTGTGGCTTGCCACAGTGACAGGCGAATCCGAAACCGGATGCCGCCAACCATATCTATATATAGGGAATATGCAGCGAGTAGAAATGCCTCTGTGTAGGTACAAGTAATATCTTTTAAGCACATTTACCTAATGCGATGATTATTATCGAAATCTCAAGTCGACAATGTGCGGGGGAAAGGAGTTTCTTAAACGCCGACACTTTTTTGCTTCGAATATGTCTGCAGGCAAGCTGTTCAAAGATTCACCACCCTCCGCTCGAAGCAGAGTTGCTGAGCAACTCGCGTGACTTAGCGCCCACCAGCTTCGCACCAGCCATGGACGCAAACTGATCATATCGCGTTCAGTTACCGCTGGAGAGGCTGTGTCCAAAACTGTCGCTCGATTTGGAGCACGAGCGTGGACTCTGACCACGCACTTGTATGCGCCGACTTCCGGGTGCGTTTCGGTGGACGTCCGCAACGTCGATGTGAACGCACTGACACCAGCCAGATGGTGAAGCCAGGTGTTCTGAATGTGTATCAAAGTGCACTGACATCCGGGTTGAGTAAGCGCCCACTGAGCACCGTCGAAGATCACTGGTCGCATATTCGTCAAACGTTACTATCAGCGGGCATGTCTTCATGTTTCAAAGCAAACTGACAAAATAAACATTAGGTCTCTAAAAAGTCTCCGGAATTTATGGATGCTCGTCGAGGTATTCCGGCTGGAAGCGAATACAATGAGGCTCGCAAAAATCTCAGGGCAAAACTATGTGCTAGCCTAAAGAGAGACCGCGAAACCTGGTGGTCTCATCGTGCATCGGAGATGGAAACAGCCGCTACCGTTCGCAATCATCGTAAGATATTCCGTCTGATACGGGAAACAGGTAGCAGGAAACCTGGTGTTAGCGAGACCATACGCGACGAGAGTGCGCAGACGATCCACAGCTTGTCAAAACGCGTAGAGCGTTGGGCTGAACACATTGCAAGGAAATTTAACCAACCTGAATTATCGCTTTCTTTTTCGGGCATTGAGCGCCCTTCTCTTGAAGCCGTCTACTTGGATCCGCCCTCACGCGCAGAAGTTGTACATGAGATAAGGCTGTTGAAATTGCATAAGTCCGCAGGGTCAGATAGAATTATCCCAGCCATCTTCAAATTCGGGGGACCTCCTCTAGTAGATGATTTACACGAGTTGCTATTGAAACTATGGGAACAGGAGACTGTCCCGACAGACTGGAGCCGCTCCCGCATTGTACCAATTTTAAGGGGAGGCTTCCGTTCGGAATGCGGCAATCATAGAGGAATCAGTCTGATCTCAATTACCTCTAACTTAGTTGCCTCTGTCGTTCTCCACAGACTGACTGGCGCTCGTGAAGGCCAGGTCGGCAAAGAGAAAGCCAGGTTTCGTCGAGGTTGAGGCTGCATCGACCACATCTTCACCTTGCGTCAATTGTTGAAGCACCGCCATGTTCATTGGCGACCCATTGTTGTCGTGTTTCTTGACATAAAAGGTGTTTTCGATTCAGTCGATTGATGTGCCCTTTGGGACTGTCTGCTGAGGAAAGGTGTGCCCGATAAATACGTAAACGTTATCAAGGCGCTGTACACGCATAGTTCGGCCAGACTGAGGGTTTATGACAAACTGTCGCCACCCTTCAGTATCACTAGCGGTGTGAGACAAGGTTGCCCGCTGTCACCATTTCTATTTAACTTCGCAGTTGACGAAATAATGGAATCAGCGTTCGCTGGACACGACCAAGGTGTGGAGCTACTACCTGGTGAGCCACTGCTTGACTTGGAGTACGCGGACGACATTGCGCTCATATGTGACAGCTCCCAAACATGTCAAGCAGCACTGGACCGATTAGCACTGGCTGTCAATCGTTTTGAGCTATGCTTTGATCCATCGAAATGCATAGTACTTCTCCAAGATTGGCAGGGACCCACTCCTGAACTGACCCTTGGTGATGACCATCTAGAAGTCATTCAGGAATTCAAGTACATGGGCAGCTATATTAGCACCCGTGGGATGGAGGATGAGGTTACGAACCGTATAGCAAAAGCTCGAGGTGCTTTTGCCGATCTCCGCCACTTGTGGCGCAGACGCGACATTACTCTCACCCTGAAGGGTAGAGTTTAGAACGCAGCCGTCCGTTCACTCCTCTTATAGGTTGTGAAAGTTGGCCCATCAGCTCGACAGACATAAACAGGCTCGTCATACTCCATCATCGCTGCCCTCTCAGCTTAGATCATGTCTGGTGGGAGCACCGCGTGAGCAATGAGCGTGTTCGACGTCGCGTATTTGGTGCAGGAAGAGCGAGTGAACCGCTCAGCACCATTATATCAAGCACCAGTACCCGATGGCTGGACCACGTGTTGCGCATGCCAGCACACCGACTCTCACGACGTGCATTGTTTGCGCGCCGCGGGTGCAGTTGGAAGAAGAGGAGAGGAGGCCAAGTGCTGACTTGGTCGAAAGGAATGGAAAGCCTTACTTCGAAGTTGGCGTGGGTTGGTGCATCCGGACTGCCTGGCTGGAGGCCTAAGGACGATGGACACGTTTGGTTGGACACACTTGCTGATATAGCTAGGAGCCGGCCTTAATGGGGTTTGTGTTGTGAGTTCCTTTGTCCATCTCTCTTCTGCTTGGCCTCCCTCCAATCACTATCCCATTCGTTAGGCATAATATAACTTTCTAGGACACGATAGCCGGCTGTTAGCTCTCCGGAACGATGTCCATCCGTTACTGGGGACTCAGCCGGCTTGCCACTGTTGTATTTCGTTT